TTCAATCTACCAGAACAGGACACTGGAGAAAATAGGGGAGTTTAAGATACTAACTTCAGAGTAGAGAATTCAGTATCGAGATTAAATTTCCTAACTTTGTACACCGAGCTGTGGTTACCTGGGATCGTTCCTGTTTGGGAGACTCTAGTTTATATACTCTAAGTCCACGGTCAATCATAGAAATAAACATATGTGAGCTAAATGGCCTAATTAAAAAGCAGAGGCTGTCAGAATGGATTTGAAAAAGCAGGCTAACCGTATGGTGCCTGTAAGAGATGTACAGGGTGATAAAAAGACACGAAGAGGCCGGGGCAGGAAGTAGAAAGCAAAGAAAAAGGGCAGCTCACAGTAACAACAAAATAGTCTTCAAGACAAGGAGCATGGCGAGGGGACAGAATCTGCTCCAGGGTGACAAAGGGGAAGATAGAACTGTAAAGTCACATCACACAGAACAAAATGCACAAAGTAAATAAAAACGGAGACATCTCCATCCTTGCTGGAGACCACGGCCTTCTTGGTGAGCAGCAGAGAAGGTGGTGTTGAAACCAGGAAAGCTGCAGACACCCAGAAAAGCACCTCAATTTCATGACCGCCTCAGACCATCAGCCCAGCATGAGAGGACATACACTTTTTTCTGGTGCATTCGGAAGGGTTGCTCAGCAAGTCAGCCAATGCTGGGCCACAGATCCAATTTCAATCCAGTTTGAAAGGTTGAGAGTCCCCAGCACTCTGAGCACTGCAGAATTCCATCAGAAGTCACTACAGGATAAGTTGCCTGGAAAAGCCTCAATATTGAGACACTAATGCAGCAGAATGGCTTCCTTGACCCATGCCAACTCACAGAAAAAGAGCAGATGGTATCTGGGGGCAAGAGGACAGTCAGGCAGCCACCCCACACTACCCTCAGGTCTGAGTCTAAAGTCCCCAGTGGAAGGGTACCATGAGCAGGGCTCCAGGCTCATCCCTCCAGCCCTATAACCCAGTCAGTCAATATTTCAGAAACTACTGAATATTCTGTACTGGGCTAGACAGGAGTGTGCAAGGGGAAAGTGTGACATTGATCACTGTAGCCAGCAGGGAAAGTGGAACCTCGGGTCTCTAAAACAGCAACATGAATTCTGCCCGCAGTCTCCCACAGAGCACAACCTGGGGGTATGGTAGAGCTAGGCTGAAAATCCCCCAGCCATCGCCTAGGGGTGTGGGTCAGCAGTAGAGCACCCACCTAAAGTCCCTGGGTGAGGGGCTGATGACTGGCTTAGTGGTAGAGCACTTGCTTAGACTCTCTGGGGGGAAGGAGAGGTAACTCAGTGGTAGAGCACTTGTCTAGATAGAGTCTGACCTACGGTAGGGGTGTAGCTGAGCTCGGTGGTAGAACGCTGCCCACCACATGCAAAGCCCTGTGTGCACTGCCATCTCCTCACACAGTAGAGTAACAGTAGTAATAAACTACTGTTGAAACTAAGCACCTCCCTCCCCAGTCTCGGACGGCACCCCAGCCCTGGCTGACACCTGGACTGCAGTTTCGGCATGCTACACCCGACCTCTGACCCACAGAAACCCTAGGAAACACACAGGGGCTCTTTTAAGCCACTTAACTTACTGGAACTCATTATCAATGACGGACATAGCAACTCTGTGGGACCTGACAAGTGACCTCAGCAGGGAGCAGAGTGACGCGCTGGCTCCGCCCACAACAGCGGCCCCGCCCACAACAGCAGCCTCCTTGCCCTTTCACCTTTGGGTGGCACAGCACAGAAAGGGGAGACGTTTTGCTGTACTTGAGAAACAGACTCCTTCTTTCAGTCTTAAGGCTGGCTTGCAGCAGCAATTGGGGACCAGCCTCTCATCCATTGGCAGCCATGCCTGTCAGGTACCTGCTCTGTGTCCAGCGTGCCGAGCCAAGGAGAGCCACCAGCTTATGGCAGGTCCTGCTGACCTCAAGCCTCTGTCCTTGTGCAAATAGAAGGGATACAGAGGAAATGGGAAACATGATCCAAAGAAAAGGACCACAGCAATGCACGGACCAAAGCATCCCAAACTTGGTTTCCAGGCAAGGGAAACCAAGGCCCAGAGAGGGATGGCCCCTTGCCCTAGTTCACATAGCCCCAGAGGCAGAGATAGGCAGTGACAGTCTGGCTATGATGGAATGGCCCAGGACCCTGGGATCTTAAGCAGGATGCCATATAGTAGAACATTCTTTGGCACCAAATCCCCTCTGCCCGCACACAACCACGCATCTTTGGCTACATTAGAAAACACTAGACTGTCTTAATCTCAGGTTCCCAGAGTCTATACAAAAATACTAGCTAGCAGTTACATAATCCAAACCCATCACGTTACATAACACAGACACGTATATCAAAAGGCGAGGCTCTCCATTCAACAAGTCTTTAGTGTTCATCTGCTCTGCTCCAGGTGGCGTTCTGGAAGCCAGAGAGGAGTTAATGAAACAGAGGAATATCCCCATCCTGGCCCAGTTAACGTCCTGGGGAAAGGGAAAGACATCACTCATTAAATAAAATACCCCGAGTGTCCGCTCCTGGGGAAACCACACCAGAAAAGCAGATACAGGAAGGCTGAGGTGGGGCGATGAGAGGTCAGACAGGACCTAGGGGAGAGAAGGGTGAGCAAAGGCCTGAAAACAGTGAAGGAGGTGGGGTCTAGGAAGAGAAGACTCCGCAGAGGAAGTGAAGAGACTCATGCATTTCAGAAAGGGCAAATGAGACATGGGGGGAGCCTAAGATGAGGGTTGCACGACTTCACCAATAAACTCAGAACCACAAGGCTTTAAGCTTGGGAAGGATGAAGTTATGGCGCATGAATCATATCTCAATTAAAGAGAAGCGATCGAGAAGGAGGGGCTAAGGCATGGAGCAGCCCGCAGCCCCTGCAGGAGGATTCCTTGATCCTGAGAAACAGCTGAGGCCCTGACCAAGCCTCCTGCCTCCAGAGCCCCTCCCCCCAAATGGGTGTGAACACCAGCCAGGCAGGGGTGAGAGCTCAGGACCCACACAGAGGACCTATGACATGGCTGAGGGCAGGGTGGGGCCCCAAGTGCCAACAGACCGTTTTTAATCAGGCAATAACTTCCTGAGCAGAAAACAAAGCCGTCTTCCTCTATCACAGGAAAGCCTGGGCCATCACACACACCACAGCCTGGCTTAGAGGCTCAGAAGGCAGCCACCAGCAGACCTCACCTACAGGCTGCTTATAAACAACCCAAGCTCTGTACCTCCTTTATGACCCCTGTGACCTGCCAGACCCAAAGGGGAGCAGGGACCTTGCCACCCTGGGGAACACAGCAACCTGCAGGCAAAAGGGGTCTGCCTGGAGGAAGCAGAGTGTGTCACCTGCCTCCTAGATAGATACCCAGAGGAAGGAGGAGGCTCCAGAGACTTCCACACAAGCTGCCTTCCACCACACCGCTGCTGAACACGGTTATAGATTCTTCACATCTGCATTGAACCCAAAGTGTTCAACACACACACAGACATGCACACATGCACATATCACTCACACACGCACACGCGTGCGCACATACACACACATGCACAGTCTGAGCCACCTGGCCCCAACCCACCACAGCAACTACACCCCATCTTCTCCCCTCCAACCACTTCAGCTTCTGACCGGCCAACCAGTCAGGTCACACCACGCCCCAGGGCCTTTGCACATGCACCTCCCGCTGCCCGTAACTCACTTCTTGAAGCTCTCCCACCTCCCACCTCCAGAGAGGCCCTTCTTGGCCACTCCACTTGAGCAGGTGCCATCATATCTGTCACCTTCATTTTATTTTAGGTGTCATCATCCCAGCTGCAGACCTGAATACCTTCTCAAACCTCTCTGGGCCTTCCTTTCCTCATATGCACGGCAGCTATGGTGCTATCTACAGAAGCTGAGTGTGTGCAAAGGGTCAGAGACGACCCTGGAGTGCCTGGCGCACAGTAGGGCATCCTGTTGTCACTCTTATAACAACTGGTCATTTTCAAGTGCTCTCTTTCTGTGAGGACTCTGTGAGGTAGGGACCCGTTCATCACATCCTAGTCATATACCAAGAAAGAACACAATACTTGGAACCTAGTAGGTACTCTGTGTCCGCTGACCAAATGGGAAGTGAATTCATGAATGAAAGCTCTCGGTGCAACTTAGTAGGTACTTATGTCCACTGACCAAATGGGAATAAAAGCTCTCAGCAGAAGCAGCCACCTTGTCCTCCACACTGTTCCCTTGAGCAGATAGATAGAAGACTGACTACCCAGGTCCCAGAGGCCCACGACCTACACCAGCCTGGCCTCCCCTGGCCCAGAGTCAAGGGATCATTGTCAGCTCCACATTGGGGAAGGAACTAGGCCACCGAAAGACTCAGATTGAGCGCCCGACCACAAGACAAAGGAGGAGCCCAGCCGCCCTTGAAAGAGTAGAGAAAGCACACTAAACTTCCCCAGCTCGGGCACAGGGAGGCTTGAGGTCCTTCCTCTCCAAAGGGGACAACAGAGTCTGCAGCCACCAGTATGAATCCAGAGCACGGGGCACCTTCTCCAGATCAGATCACGTCATGCAGTGCAAGAAGGAATCCGGAATGGCTCCAAGCAGCCACACTTCACAGATGGCGAACAGAGGTGTAGGGTTAAGTGAACACCCAAAGGTTGGAACCATAAGCTAGAAGCCAGAAAGGGCCCACCAGCCCAGGGGTTCTTATCAGGAAACTCTGTTTGCTTCACCCTCATGGGACGTCTGGCAACTTCTGAGGCTTTCCTGATAGTCCTATGGGGCAGAAACTGTTCTGGCATCTAACTGGTGACAGATGACACTGGCAATTGTTCCCCAATGTACATGGTAGCCCCCACTAAGCGGAACACCAACACAGAGTGCCCTCTCAGCAGCTGGCTCCTCCGGGACCTTGGTTCTGGGTTTGACAGTCCCCAGGGATCTGCGGATAGAACCATGGCTAACGTCAGGGAACTGCCCCTCACAGAGATCATAGCATCTCACCTGTAAACAAAAGACTCAGCCCATGATCCTCAGCTTGCTCTCCACCTGGCAGACTTCTAAAGACCAGGGAGAGGGTCTGTTCTACCCTGGCTCAGTGGCTAGGAGACACTACATACTGGCTTAGGTAAGTACCCTCTGTTAGGATTCTACCTGAGAACTATCTTCCAGGAAAACCAAAAGCAATCAACAAATGGCTGTTGATGCTGGCTAGGCTCCACTGCTCCAAAGACAGCCTTCTGAGGAAAGCACCTGAGTGAGGAAGACAGCCCAGTAGGGCCTGCTCCTTGGCCTGATCAAGGGAATACTCTCTCTACTCCTGCCTAAGGTCTCCCAGGCCAAAAACACCAGGACCATTCATCTCTCCTGATGTGACGGGATCCAAGGCTACCAGGGAGAGTGTAAGGATAATGATGAATGAGCTTCCTATATCTGAGCAAAAACCGTTCATTCACAGGTGCAGCCATCCTCCGAGAGACAAGTGCCACATGTGCCCTGTTGGAGTCTGCATTCCCAGGGCCTGGCTCATAGTCTGGATCATAGCAGGCATCTCATAAATACCTGCATGCTGAGAAACGCAGTCAATGTTCAGGACTCTGCTTGCAAAAACATAGAAATGGGGCCACAGAACCTTGACATCTGAGATGTTATCACCACGGGGTTCTCACTGGGGCCAGAGATACAGTTCAGTGGTAGAATGCTTGCTTAGCATACGCAAGGCCTTGGGTTGCATTTCCAATACTACAAGCAATTAAACAACTCAGTGGGTAGAGTATTTGCCTGGCATACAAGACGTCCCGAGTTCAATCCCAGCAATATATACATGGGTTGTGTATACAGGCAAATGCCTGTAACCTCAGCACTTAGAAGGGAAAACAAGAGGACCAAAAATTGTATAAGAGTCTCCTCCAAGATTAAAACCTTTCAGGGAAGCTTCTTAAGCAGAGAATCAACAAAACAGGAGCTTCAAGAAGTCCCTGAAGCTCACCAGATTCACTAGGCTCCATCCTGCCAGAAAAAGCAAAACCAGAAGCAGTGAAGACTCTGGACCAGCCCAGCTGCTTGAAAGAGCTTTAGACCAACCGAGGCACCTGGAAAGGGCACTCCCCAACCTGTGGAGCTGCCTGCAGGCTATGCAGTCTGCTCCAGGTTCCCAGGGTCATGAGCCGTCACCCATGCTGGGGCGGGCTTGGGTGATACAGCTGTCTTTGAGGCATTCCTGCTCATGTAAGCAACCATCCATATTCCTGCAAGTAACCTCAAGAAAACTCATTGGTTCACCAAGCTGGGCTTTGGTGGTATCCGTGCTTTGGTCTATTTTGAGTTCTCTACGTGGGGTGAGTAGATGAGTGTTTTTTATCTCCCCAGGAAAACATTTTATCACACAACGTAATTGGTGCCCAAACAGGGACATGACAGACCCAAAGACGAGTTGGGGAGGGCTGAGTGTATAGTCCTGGCTACGGGTATCGAGGCATACAACCGAGACTGAGGCAGCCTAAGAGGGAGCATCCTCAGAGAAAATTCCGAGAGAGTTGTCCTTTCCTGTATGTGTGAGAGTGTGCCTCTATGCTATGACAACAGTTTGCAGGGTTCTCGTGAGTGAGACAGGCAACTCAGGCCAAGCCATCAGGTTAGGGGTGTCTGTGGGAGCAATCCTGGGATGGCAGTCTTCATGTATGAGGTATGGGAGGAGTGGGGTCTACCACGTGAACATGGGATGACCTGAACACAGTTTAGAGGAAATCTTGCCATCTTTGGGATTAGCATACAAGAATTGAGACTGTTGGCAAGAGGTGGCAGAGGTTGCCTGGCCTCTATCGTATGGAGTAAAAAAATGCATCTGAAGCCGAAAAGGCACCTAAGCAGAAGAAGGGTGTCTGTGTAAAGGAGCAATTGCAACAAGAAAGGGAGATGTGGCTAGCCATGTTAGCCTCTGATTTGACAGCTGACTTAGATAAACAAGAGAATGGGAGTTGGTAAAAGCAATAAAACATACCCCTCAAGTCCAAGCTTCAGTAGAAAAAGGGGAAATCTGTAATCCAGCATGCAGATGTGTATATTAACCATGATCCAATGCAAGCCAGTGTGATCAGAAAATGGGAAATCTGTAATCCAGCAGGCAGATGTGTGTGTTAACCAGGATCCAGTGTAAGCCAATGTGATCAGAAAGCATTCAGCACTTAGCCGGCCGGATGTACGGCAGCCTTTTAAACACGCAGAGGGAGAGCCTGTTTCAGCCTGGCTTGTGAGGCTGTGGGACCTGGGCATGCACAGGATCAGTCTGGCTGCAGTGGAACTTGCTATCCCTCCTTAAGGCAAAGGCTGCATAACCTAAGACACTAAGAGGGAAATCAGTCCTTGAGTGTCTTTAGGAACACTTGGTTATCTCCACCTAAGGTCTCCATAAATACCATGAACTGCAGAACCATAGAGGAGGGGCATGCTACTGAGGGAACTAGGAATAAGGGGAATTGTAAGCCAGGACATGGTGACTCACGCCTTTACTCCCAACACTCGAGAGGCAGAGGCAGGCAGATGTCTGATGTCAAAGACAGCCTGGATTACAGAGTTCTAGGACAGCCAGGGCTATACAGAGAAACCCTGTCTCAGGTTGGGGGAGAGGGGCCATGCTTGAACCCCAGCTCACTGGGCCAGAAAGCTGTGTTCACAGAGGAGTTAGAGAAGAGACTGATCCAGCAGGAACTGGTGTGGGCTTTAGTGTCTTTGCTGAGTCCATTGATGGGGCAAGATCTTTATAAAGAAAGGCTCTGGCAGATCTCAGTGGCTTATGCCATAATGAAAAGAGAGTTTTTAAACTGAGAGAGCAATGTAGTAAAAAAAAAGTAAAGCAGACAGAGGTCTGTCTGGGTTACTGGAAGACAAATGTGGCAAGATTCATACTCACCGGAGGACATCTGTGATAGACCAGAACAAGTGAAGACAATCAAGCCTGGCCCAGAAGTGGGTAATCATCCCCCCAGACTAAGGAGGGTACAGTCACCTCCAGCAAAAGGTCATGCTAGTGGTGGAGATGGCTTCCCAGTCAGGAACTCCCCCAACCACCAGATATGGTGGATGGAGTAGCAAGATACAACAACATGCACGTGGCCAACTCAGGGCAGCTCTCACCCTGAGAGCCAGCAAGTGCAGCAGGGGAGAGCAGGGCCTCTTGGTCCTGAGTAAGTCTGAGCAAATTAAGTCAGGCCCACTGAGTTTATTGGGTGTGGAGGAATGTAGGCTCTGAGGAAGAACTCCAGGATATGGAAATGTAACAGCTCAGAGAGAATGACCTAAGGGTTACAGGGAGCTAATTAGGTTAGTGCCTCCTATCCATGTCCTGTACCCAATCCTGATCTGTGGAGAAAGCAATTGATACAAATGAATGGAACCTTTCCGTGCTATATTAGACCGTGTTTACGTTAGGCTTTAGTATCTTCTTAGCTGTGAATCTCTGGGGTCACCTGACCATAGGAACAGGTGACAGCAGACTCCCAAAGTGCTTCACCAAAATCTTTGTAACCCCAGTTTGTTATGGGTTGGTGGCTGGGGATGTTGCCTTGTCCTGTCCATCATCTGGAAAAGGGTTTTGTTCTACAGATGACATAATGGTAGCCTCTGAGTGTTTTGCAGATTTGGAAAGCCAGTGGTACTTCCACCTATCCTGCAATCCTACTGGGGCTGGGCTAATTAAAGAAAAATAACTCTAAAGGACACTTTCAGAGGCCATGAAGTGACTAAATGAAAGCCCTAGTCCCAGGGGTGGGCTACCTCCCTGAGTTCTTAGTCAGGGAAGCTCCTGAGGCCCCACAAAATATAAAGGCTATTGCTGCTATTGTTGATTGTATGTCAAACGTAGATGTAAGACCCTATGGCTAAGGACTCCCCACGTGCATGCTTTGACTGCAGACGGCTGGTGGAGGACTGTCACCATCATTCCTGCTTGGCTATGGACCCTGCATGCTAAAATTCTGACATGCCAGGCAGAATGCACCTGCTTGTGCAACAGTGGTTCAGCTATCGTGAGTGAAACCAACCAGAACCATGCAGTTGGATTTAAGGCTCACCGCACAAGAAAGAGTTCATTCACATCTGGTACTGTAAGCCAAGACAAAAACCTGGGATTTAGGGGCTTAGTCTAAACCTAAGTCGCAATGGGGGAGCAACTTCTATGGTTTTACTGATGGATATGATGTGCCTGTTAAACCTGCCTTCTAAATATGGGCGTTTACACCCACAGATCATGTATTATCAGTCTCAACTCATAACCACCAATGAAGCTCCTAGGAGCAAGGGACTGTTACTGTGGCATGGTGGCCTACTTCTTAGTCATAGATGGACACCTTCCAAGGCTCAGGGATCACTGGGGGAAAGGGGGTGTAGGAAGGAAGGAAGACAGGGAGAAGGGGCGGAGTGTTGTGTCACTGTCTCCAAAATCAAAACATTCCATCTTGCAGGCTAGCTCCCTAAGCAGGGAGGCAAACAACAAAACAAAGTAGCTTCAAGAAACTCCCTGAAACTCCCTGCTGGACCAGCTACCTGGAAGAAGGGACCAGCTGAGCTGCCTGGAAGAAGGGACCAGCTGAGCTGCCTGGAAGAGATGTAGACCAACAGGGGCATCTGGAAAGGGCGCTCTCCAGCCTGTTAATCTGCCTGCAGGCTGTGCGGTATGCTCCAGGTTCCCAGCTTGGTGAGCTGTCACCCATGCTGGGGTGGACTTTGGTGATATGGCTGTCTTTGAGTCATTCCTGATCCTGTAAGTGACCCCTCACCCATATTCCTGTAAGTAACCCCAATAAAACTCATTGGTTCACTAAGCTGGGCTTGGTGGTATCCATACTTCGGTCTGTCGTGGGTTTCCTATCTGGGAGTGTAAAAGAGTGTGTTTCGTCTCCCCAAGCAAAGTTTTATCACATAACACAAGGTCATCCTCCACTGCACGTCAGGTCTGCTGTCAGCTTGGGCTACGTGAGGTATTACCTCAAAAACAAATAAATAAATTGAAGTTGGGGGGCTGGTAAGACAGGCTTCCAGGACTGAAGACCTGAGTTTGATCCCTGGAACTCACATGATAGGGGAGAAACCTGACCGCCTCACACTATCCTGACTTTCACACATGCACTGTGGCATATATACACACACACATACACACACACACACACACACACACACAAATAAACAAATGTAATATGTTTCTAAACAAATTTTTGAAGGATTTCATTGGCTTCTGTTTGGTTCAGGCTCCCTGTGCTGTGCCTGTACAAATGCATGTTCACATGTGTGCAGGTGCACATATATGCATGTATGAGCATGCACATGTGTGCATATGACTATGGAGACCCAAAGTTGAAGGCAGTTGTCTTCCTTGGTCACTCTCCCCCTTATATATTGAGGCAGGGTCTCCAGCTAGACCCACGGCTCTCCCACTAGCTAGCCCCGTTGCCCTAAGGGTCCCAGCTCCACCTTCCAAGTGCCAAGATTACGGATGGACAGTCACATCTGCCTACCTTTTATGTGGGTTCTAGAGATCTGAACCCTGGTCCTCACATTTGCAAGGCAAGTGCTTTATCCATGGAGCCATCTCCCTAGCCCCATGATTACTGCTTACATCCCCAAAGCAGACCTGCTCTGCCCACACTTCTCAGCTCCCTACTTTTCCAGACACAAGCACGTGAAGATGCCCAAAGCCATGGAGTTAGTCATCCTGACTGGATAGCTGCAGACTCTAGTGTGCCCTGCACCCCAGGCCTTCTCCCTGGGGCAGAGCTAGGAACACAGAGTGACTGTGCAAACCACAATTTCTTGTTTTGGTGAGCAGACTCCAGAGAGAAAATCTTTGGTCTCCTCCCCCCCACCCCGCAAAAAAAGCAGAACCACTAGATGCATTCTGGGAGCTCTGTGCCCATAGTCCTTGTTCCTTTCAAAGACCCCAGCTAGGGTGGTTCTGAGAAGATCTTCTGGGTACCAGGAAATAACAGGTCTCTGTCCTCAGCCAAGGGGAGTCCCCAGGTCAAAGTTGACGGGTCCCACCAGGGTTCTCTGTCCATTATGCCAGGACTCTAGCCAACAACCAAAAATATGGTGAAAAACTCACTCAGCCTCTTCCTTTAGGGAAGAGACTCCATGGACCCTCGCCCCAAACACCATCATCGGGTCTCCAACCACCTACTGTGTGTCATGCAGTAGAAGTTAACTTCAGGCCCATTCAAGTTTCATGAAACCCCTGTCAAACAGTAAAGATGTAGAAACTGAGGCACGGTACAAGTTCGTCTCGCTCTAGAGCCCCACACTCAACCTTTGCACCATCAACAAAGCTAGCACAAAGGACATGGGCCACCAGGAAGCTCACTTCAACCTGCCACCTCAGTTTCCTCATCTGTCAGTGGGGAACCAACAGCACCTTTCTCGGGGTAGGTTAATTGGCTGCCTCTTGCAAAATGCTGCACAGTAAACAACAAGGGTCAGCTCCTACAAGACGACACCTTGTTACTGTCCCCACCAGCACTGCCCAAGACAGCTCAGGACCTCAAAGGTTCCAAGTCAAGATCCCATTCTGTGCCACAAAGCCTTTTGTCCATCCCTGCATAGTCACTCAACCTCCGAAGTGACCTGAGATTGTGCCAACATCTCCACGAAACACCCTGTTTCTTTCTGATTCTCTAGAAAGAGCTCCTAGGACCTTGTGGAGACAAGGAAGGATACAGCCCACGGCCTAGGTGCAGCCCAAATCCAGAGTGGACACACTAAAGAGCCCCAAAGCCCCAGAATGGGAACAGAACAGAGCCAGTGGTTTCCTTTGCTAGAGTTCAAAGGTCAAAAGGAAACTCGTTGCAAGTCCCCCAGGCTTCTGCAGACTCAGACCTCACTTCCTCCAGGCAGCCTCCTGTGATCCACCTTGTTCTCCAGCCCTACTACCCTACCCACCTGTAAGAGTAATTACCACATAATTATAACTCATAATTTCAGTTGATATTTGCATAGTTAACTGTCTGCAGGCACTGCTCGGAGGGCTCTAAGTAGTTACACAATTTACCTACCCTAAAAAGCCCACAGAACAAAATCTATTCTCTCCCATTTTACAAGGGAATAAAGGACTGAAGATTTCAATCCAACATGCCTAAAGCCACCGATCCAAAGACCTCACACCAAGCAATCTGATTCCGAATTTGGAGCTCTGGATCTTTTTATATTATATTATCTATTTACTCATTTATACATTTGGGGGAAGGATATGTATGTCATGGTGGGGTCTCGGGGATCAAATTCAGGTCCTCAGACTTAGGGGCAAGTGCCTTTAACTCACTGAGCCATCTGGCCAGCTCTTGCTCTAGACTTTTTAAAGTGCCCATTTTGCCACTGTAGACTAGACTGGCCCCTCCCAGAGAGCCAGGAGTCCAGGGAACCCCTGTCAGGGTGTACAAAAGCTAACAAGTTGGGGCGGGGAGAACCCCAGGAGGCTGCCAGCCCCTCTGTGCTGGTGCGTGAAGGAAAGCGGGGTGACAAGGAGCATGCAGCTCTCACTCCAGGCTTCCAGGACTAAATGGCCTTGGGTTGCCTGAGGGCCATTCCCCAGAGGCCAGAGGTAGCCTCCTGGGCTCCCAGAGCAAGGCAGGCTACTCAGGTTACACAATCAGCCCTCTGCTTCTGGCATTAGCTTGGAGACTCAAGTAAGGGCAAGGCACAAAAGCAGCCTGGGGACTCCCACTCTTGTACAGGTGGGGAAACTGAGATCAGCATAGGTGGCAGGAGCGCCCCAAGAAACACCAAGTCCGTCCCAGAATACCCTGTCACACCCAAGCAAAAACACTGTCCACAAACGACAAACAGGTGTCCTGAGGATGGCACGAAAGCCCGAGAAACTTCTTTTGGTTTCTTTAATTCTAAGAATGTGGACTCCGATCAATTTCCATTATCCTAGCTTCCCCAGACTCTTCATGGGGACAGTTTAAAACCACAGTTAACCCAGCACAATGGCCAGGGGCGAACATGGGGAGTGTGTATCTCCCCCCCACACACACACCCCTTTAATATAAAAACTGGTTTACATTTCCTGTTTCTTTTTAAGGCTGAGAAGCTAAGCCACTGCTGAGGGGGAAGTGAGGAGTTCCCTAGAATCTGTCACTGCTCAGCAATGCCAGAGTGGCTACAGCACTCATTTAGAAACTGCCAGCTTCAAGCCGGAGAGCTGTGAGAAAGGAAGAGATGGGAAAGAAAGCCAACCCTGTGTTATTCTCACAGGCCTTTCCAGAAGGATCCTTGGGCCAAATGGCTTTCAATACCTCTACACAGCTCCTCCCCCCTCCTTGATATTCCCTCCTCCCTAAGTGGGAACCCTCGACCTCACACAGACTCCCCTGCGCCCTCAAGCCACTGGGAACCCCAGAATGCCCCTTTCAGGGGTCTCTCCCCTCTCTCCCTCTCTCTCTCAATGCTCCTTTCAGGGGTCTCTCCTCTCTCTCTCTCTCTCTCTCTCTCTCTCTCTCTCTCTCTCTCTCTCTCTCACACACACACACACACACACACACACACACACACACAGTCCCTTCCTGAAGCGGGGTTAAGACCGGAGTTAAAGCGGCCCCAGCAGGAGGTACCGAGATTAAAGCCCGCAGGTCTCCAAGACCAGCCCATCCCACCCCCCTCCAGTTTTCTCACTTCCTAGGAGGGTAGGGAAGTGGCCCCTTCCTCATTCTCACTGGAGACTCAAGAGCAGCTAAGCACCCGAGTTTAAAGCACCCGAGGGGCTGCCCTAGGTCACCACCCTGCATCCAATCCCACTTAGTCAAGCTGTGCAATCCAGAGTAAGGGACTCGACCTCCCTGGAGCCGAACTCTTCCCTCGTCTTAAAGATCGGAAAATATATGCGCGGTACTGATGAGCCCGATAACGGCTCAGCCTGCTGAGAACCGTGTAAGGTGCGTGGTACAAGGGCGCACTCGGATGCTGTTTTGCAGTCTAAAGCTGTGACTGTGTAATTCGAGCTGGGGGCACGGCTGCGAAGCCCAGAGGTCCCCGGTACAGCCGAGGGTGCGCGGGGGCCCTGTCCCTGCTTCTCCCCACACCGACCCCCAACGGGGCCCCGGGCAGCGGCCGCGCGGATGTAACCATTTTCAAACTATGCGCAAGGCGGGGAACCACAGACAAAAGCGCGGCGCGGGCCGGCCGGCCACAGGTGGCGGGAGCTCACCGACTGTAGGAAGCGCAAGGTGCCCACGTAGTCGCGCTCGGTGCCCAGAATCTCGTTGAGCACGCACAGACGGAGGCGCAGCTGCCGCTCCGACTCGCGGGCGGCCGCGCACGGCCCGGAGCCGGGGCCGCGGGCGTCCGGCTGCGCACCGTCCCCGCCTGGGTCCCCGCCGCCGTCGCCGCCACCACTGCCGGGCGCCTCCATCGCCTCGCGGCGCCCGAACTTCCCGCGCCGATGTCGCGCCGCGGCTCAGGCGTCCGGGCTCCGCATCCCGGACAGGCGCCGCTCAGCGGGCCCGGGGCAGGCGGAGCGGGGGCGGGGCCTGGGCGGAGCCCAGGGGCGGGAGGGCGGAGTGGAGGCGGGGCTTTGCTAGAGAGTATGGGGTGGGCGGAGTCTTTCGTGGAGTG